CCTCGTGAAATAAAAATCAGGCACTTTTTGTGACTGATTACATGCACACAGTCTCACAGCCCATGTCAAAAAAAGTGCAAATATGTCAAAATTACTCTATAAACATAACCTTTAAGATTCTCAATGTAAAAAATATTTGTCTTTACTTTTCTAACTAAACAACAAACTGCCCAAGATACACAAAGAAACTCTTTGCCTCTAAACGACCTCAGAACAGAGTAGAGAGGAACTAGTGTGTGACTCAGTGTGTGGACACATGTTCAGAAGTGACCTATTTCCAGAAAATTGTTTCCTGTGAACTTGAACTTGATATGAATCACCCACTCACAGGATTATGTATCCTGCCAAATAATACAATTTATTAACACACGAGTGTTTGACATTTATCATCTTTTGAGGGTTGAACCAAATTGTTTTTCTTTTTAAATTTGTACTTAATTTTTCTGACTTAATTGTGTGTGAAATAGTGTCTACAGTGACCGTGTGAATCACGCACCTAACATTATTGTATTTTTTTCTGCAACCACTGCTAATATGTTTGGAGAAACAAAATCAAGTGTGTTATAATTTGTTTGTGCTGTCCGTGTAGATGAGATGTGTTTGTTTGCACAGATAAGTGTCACATTCCACCACTGTGCCAATCACACCTACCTGTCTTCAGGACAGCGGTGGAGTCACCGCAGGTTTTGCAAGATGTTTTGGATTGTGTCTTGATGAAATAACACTGCAGAACATCTGAGATCACCTTAAAAGGAAAGTAGGTTACAACGTTTGTTGAGAACATGTTATCCAGCAACATTTTTCAAAATATATTTTGAGAAACTATAAACTGTGAATTATTGGAAACAGAGGAAGTTCTGTTTCATAACATCTGTCTGTGAGGATTTAGGATAGTGACGAGAGAGAAAACAGTTCCAGGAAGTGAAGTATAAACTCATACTCAAACGGTCCAACCTCAAAGAGAACTAAGAAAAAATATATATATTTTTAAATGGCTAACAAGCACTAGCTCTAAATGCATCGTTTTAATGTTGAAAACTTATGTCTTAGCAGCCCTTCACACAGAACGAGTTTTTGCACTGAAAGACGTGAGATGTGAGGAGTGGAATGGTGAAAAAATGCAAAGTCTCTAGACGCCTTTTTTTTTTTTTAAGACCACATTGGTCAAAGACATCCATCTAATGCAGGGGTGTCAAACTCACTTCCTAGAGGGCCACAGACCTGCAGAGTTTAGATTCAACCCTAATTAAACTCAACTGATCCAGCTATTTAATTAAGTCCTTCGGGCTTTGTTGGAGCAGCTTTGGAACAAAACTCTGCAGGGCTGCGGCATTGCAATGACGCAATGAACCATCAAGACCTGTTTCGTTCTTGAATGTTTTTGAATGAATTAGTTGAGTGAATGATTCAAATGACTCACAAAGATTTTCACTTGTCATCATCTACTGGCATAACAATCTATAAAGCCAATCCTTATGAGACTGACGTTGCTCTGGAATATGAATAAATAAATAAATATAAACATAAAAATATTAAATTT